TTCATTTATCCTTAACTTTTTTTTTTTCTTTTTAGAGACAGAGTCTCACTTTGTTGCCCTCGATAGAGTGCCATGGTGTCAGGCTCACAGCAACCTCTAGCTCTTGGGCTTAGGTGATTCTCTTGCCTCAACCTCCCAAGTAGCTGGGACTATAGGCACCCACCACTATGCCTGGCTATTTTCTGGTTACAGTTTGGCTGCCGCTGGGTTTGAACCCGCCACCCTCTGTATATGGGGCCAGCACCCGACTCATTGAGCCACAGGTGCTGCCCTATCCTTAACTTTTGAAGAATAATTTTTTAGGGTACAGAATTTTAGGTGGGTAATTTACTTTTTCTCTCAATATTTTAAATATGTTCCTCCATTCTCTTCGTGCTTACATGGTTTCTGAAGAAAAGTCAGATGTCATTCTTATCTCTGCTCCCTTGTAGGTAGAGTGATTTTTTTCCTTTGGCTTCTTTCAGGATTTTTTTCTTTTTCTTTTTTTTTTTTGAGATAGTCTCAAGCTGTCACCCTGGGTAGAAAGACGTAGCATCATAGTTCCGAGCAACCTCCAACTCTTGGGCCCAAGTGATATTCTTCCCTCATTTTTTTTTTTCTATTTTAGTAGAGAGGGGGTTTTGCTCTGGCTCAGGCTGGACTCAAACTCTTTTTTTAAATTTTTTTATTTTTTATTTTTATTAAATCATAGCAGTGTACATTAATACTATCATGGGGTACAGTGTACTGTTTCTGTATACAGTTTGAAATATTTTCATCCAACTGGTTAACATAGCCTTCATGTCTTAGTTATTGTGTTAAGACATTTATATTCTACATTCAGAGAGATTCACATGTACCCTTATAGGATGAACCATAGGCGTGATCCCACCAATCACCCTCCTTACACCCACTCTGCCCCGTCCTTCCCTTTCTCTCCCCTCTCTCCATATTCCTGGGCTAAAATTGGGTTATACTTTTCCTATGAAAGCTATAAATTAGTTTCATAGTAGAGCTGAGTACAATTGGATACTTTTTCTTCCATTCTTGGGATACTTTGCTAAGAAGAATATTTTCCAGCTCCATCCATGTAAACATGAAGGAGGTAAAGTCTCCATCTTTCTTTCTTTCTTTCTTTCTTTTTTTTATTGAATGGTAACTATGTACATTAATGCACTTCTGGGGTACAGTGTGGGGTTTTCACACACAATCCGAAACACTTCCATCAAACTGGTTAACATAGCCTTCGTGTCATTTTCTTAGTTATTATTTTAAAACGTTCACATTCTACTCTTAGAAAGATTCACTTGTACCCTTGTAAGATAAACCTTAGAAGTGATCCCTCCAATCCCCTTCCCTCCACCCATCCCCCCTCCCCTCTCCCTCCCTCCTCCCCACATTCTTAGGCTGTTATTAGGTTATAGCTTTCATATGAAAGGTATAAATTAGTTTCATAATACGAGTGTTACATTGGATACTTTTTCTTCCATTCTTGTGATACTTTGCTAAGAAGAACATTTTCCAGCTCCATCCATGCGAACATGAATGACGTAAAGTCTCCATCTTTCTTAATGGCTGCATAGTATTCCATGGTGTACATATACCACAGTTTGTTGATCCATTCATGGATTGATGGGCTCTTGGGCTTCTTCCATGACCTAGCAATTATGAATTGGGCTGCAATGAACATTCTGATACAAATATCTTTGTTGTAGTGTGATTTTTGGTCTTCTGGATATTTACCTAATAGAGGAATTATAGGATCAAATGGCAGGTCTATTTTTAGTGCTTTAAGTGTTCTCCAGATGTCTTTCCAAAAGGAACATATTAGTTTGCAATCCCATCAGCAGTGTAGAAGTGTTCCCTTTTCTTCACAACCATTCTTAATCATCAGAGAAATGCAAATCAAAACTACTTTGAGATATCATCCAATACCAGTAAGATTAGCCCATTTCACAAAATCCCAAAATCACAGATACTGGACTTGAACTCTTGAGCTCAAGCAATCCACCTGCTTGAGCTTGGCCTTGATTTAGCTTCGACCTCCCAGAGTACTAGGATTACAAGCATAAGTCATCATGCCCAGCCTAGTATTTTTTCTTTATCTTTGTTTTCCTGTAGTTTTGAAATGATCAGTGTAGTCTTTTGGGTGGTTGGTTTATCATGCTTGTTCTTCTCTGAGCTTTCTGGATCTGTGGTTTGGTATCTGGCATTTATTTAGAAAAATTCTAAGTTATTACTGTTTCAAATATTTCTTCAGTTCTTTTTTTTCTTCTCCCTCTGGTATACCCTTTATACCTATTTACACCTTTTATAATTATCTCACAATTATCTTGCATACTGTATTCTGGGTTGAGATTCTTTCATCAGCTGTGCCCAGTCTACTAATGAGCCCATCAAAGGAGTTCTTCGTTTCTGCTATTGTGGTTTTTGATGTATAGCAGGGGTCCTTAAACTTTTTAAACAGGGGGCCAGCTCACCCTCCCTCAGACTGTTGGAGGGCCGGACTGTGGGCCCTGGGACAAGTTGGCAAGAACACCCGGTGGCCTGGATAAATGTCCTAGGTGGGCTGCATGTGGCCCGCAGGCCGTAGTTTGAGGACACCTGTTGTATAGCATTCCTTTTTGGTTCTTTCTCAGGGATACTTGCCATTTCTCTGCTTAGATTGACCATTCATTGGCATGTAATCAACTTTATCCACTGGAACTTTTAGCATATTAATCATAATTTCCTGTCTTATAATTCCACCATTCTTGTCATGCCTGGTTCTGATGCTTGTTTCAACTCTTTAAACTGCTATTTTTCTTTTCTTTTTTTTTTTTTAATTTCTTATAGGATAACTATGTTTTTCTCTTTCAGTATGCTTTGTACATCTTTGTTAAAAGTCATACACAGTGTATAAGAACTGCTGTAAGGAGGACGTTAGTAACGTGGAGGTAAGGAATGGGAAGGGAAGTGTTCTACAGCCCTATGATCAGGCCTCAGTCTTTTATTAAGTGTGTGCCTTTGGATTGTGAATTCACAAGTGCCTCTTTCTTGTTTTGTTTCCTTTACCAGGCCATGATGGCTAGAGCAGGCTGGAATTGGGCATTTCCCTCCTGTAGGTCACTCAGGCTCTGATAAGCACGCAGCAGGTTAGGGGTTAGGCTTTGGTTTACTAGTTTCTCCAGGTGATTGTTAAGAAAAAGATCACCCTAGCCTATTTTAAAATGTTCCTTTTTCCCCTTCCTGTGAAAATAAGGGAATTTTTCTATTATTTACTATGAGAATCTGGTATAGTTCCTAGAGGTTAAACTCACAAAAGCTTGGGTCCCTTGGACTTTTTAACTTTCAGTTTTCCACTATACCTAAGCTCCTGCAACTTGTCAATTAGTTCAGGTTTTCCTACCCCCACCACCTGGTTCCTAAGGAGATTTCTATTGTAAAATGCTGCGATTCTCTGTACTTGCTTGTCTGTCTCTCCCATTTGGGGGAAAGTACTTTTCCCCGTGACCTCATTTCTCTTACAGATCTAAGAAGAGCTGGTGGTTTTTCAGTTTTTTCAGGTTTTTACTTGTTAGAGTATAATGGTGACTTTCAGGCTTTTTCCATCTGGTACCACAAACTGGAAAATCATTTTTTTTTAATATAAAAAAAGATTAAGGCTAATAGAACCTTCATTTTCTGGCCTGATTCTCCAGAAATTAAGGTGATAGTCTCTATATTTTAAAAAAATGAAAGAAAGAGATCAATTTCTTAGAAATGGTTTACTAATCCCTTAGAATCTGCCAAGTTTCATCAGATTTTCATAGAGATTTGGGAAAAGAAGAACTTCTGAGGAGTAGAAACTTCATCATCTACTTTGCTCTTTGGCATGACGGCATTTTTAACTACTTTGTTCATTGATCTTAGATACATCAATCTGCTATAAGTGAATCTTTTTACACTCAATATAGCAAAACCTACATCTGAAAATGCATATCACCATTATCAACAGGGATCAAAAAATACCTGTTAAGATGCTACTGGTTTGAAGGCAGTCAGTTTGATTCCAAATGTAAAGCCCAGGATACTGAAAGCCCCCAACACAAGAACCAGAGAGAAAAGCCAACTCTTGTGGAATGCATAAGTCCTTGCTTCCTGCTGTTTGTAGATCATTGATCAAAAATCTATGAATGACAATATTCAACTTTAAATAATGGCAGTCTATAGGGCAAAGGACTTTTCTTTAAAAGAAAAATCTATTGTTCCTTTTCTAACAGGAAAGCTTTGATGTTTTCTTTAGAACAAAACAATGGATTACTTCTCCACAACTAGTAACATTTTCAAAAGATCATAAAATAAGGCGAATAGAGGTATAAGCATGAATACTCACAAAAATATAGTCTCAAGAATATCCAAAAAAAAAGAATATCCAAGAGTGTGAAATAGGCTCTTTCTATGACACACTGTTTCTTGACAGATAGTAGTTAAAATGAATAAAGTGCTCCTGGGAATAACATATACCCACTGTGGTAAGATTAACAATAATATATGTGTATTGTCAAAGCAATGTGTAAAACTCTGGTTTGGAAAAGAACTGCTTATTACATAAGATCGTGGTGGGCTCTACTTCACTAGCAATGGTAACATTCATTTTAATAAACAGAAGGCCCAACAAAATGACAGCATTACCACTTTCTCTTATCAATGCTTCATTTTTAAATCTTCAGTAGAACTTTGTTTCTTTTTAATTAATGCAAAATAATTTAAAATTCTATCCATTCAATGAAATATGACAAACACTAAATTGTATAAAACAATGACATTTCTTGAATTCTGGGTTTTTAGAATTTATTTATCTCAGGAAGTCATATGAATCAAAAAGTATTGAAATAAGAAATGTATAATATTTGGCTAAAGTGACTTAATGAACCAAGAACTCAGAATTCTATCACGGTATTCAAAGCTTCATTAATAACTAACTAAAAGAATTTAGTTAAGAAGAATGAATGTATTTTACAAACACAGATATACAACTTTACCATGTATACAATATGTACCTTTGACAACTCCATGCCTGGCCCACACTGATTGCAGAGAATACAATTTCCAGACCGATCCCTGAATTCTTGTTGTCTACAGTCTCCTGTTTCACAAATCACTTTACATGACTGGAAAAAAAAAATGTTTCACAAAATGTTATCTTAAAGTATGTTCATTATATTTTTTGTAAGAAAGGAATACTATCCTTATTACTAGTCACAAAATCACTGGATAAGAGCATAAGTTCAGAGGTCAATTTAATTTTTACTCTGGGAAGAAAAACCACATTCTGAAGAAGTCAGTGGAACAAATTAATCAATAAGCCTAATTCTTTTTTTGAGAATACTCATTCATTTCCTGAATGGGGTCTCCCTTCTCATTTGAATTAATTGCTATCTTCTCTTCTGAAGATCTGAGGTAAAAAATGACTTAGGAGCTGTTCCCTTTTCTAAGTAAGAAGATATAGAAAGAATAGCTATATTATGATTTTAGTTTATGTATAATGAAGGTTCTTTTGCTATCAGAAAAATTCTGAATGAAAAACTTTAAACATATTCAAGTAAAATGAATTGAATAAACAAATAAATGGAACAGATTAGTACAGCTACAAGAACGTTGCAATTATCCTTTAGACTTATCTATCCAACAGTTTTGATGGAGAAATTCCAACCCTTTTCAGTTGAGCTACATATACTTAAAAATTGTCTTTAAAAAAATACTATGTGATGATCACAAATTCAGTAAAATTCTTGATAATGATGATCATGAAAGATGACAATAATGTTCAAACTCTCTGAACTCTTTGAAGTAAAAGCACTATTTAAATCTGAACTTACATCCTTACTGATTATTATTTAGCCATTGACAGGGACCTAACAAAATGCTTTGATTCATAGCATAGGACTTTAATGGAAAATTTATGCCTTGGCAAAAACAAAGATTATAAGACACTTTCCAAAATACAGCAGAACCTCCATAATTGACCACCTCCCTACAGTGATCACTTCCTTAAGTTGATCTAATTTTCATAGACCAGACATGTACCACATGTATGTATTAGTACAGTAGACCTAGTTTTTTATGTTGACCACCTTTGTATGGTGAACATTTTGTGATAGTCCCTTGGGTTGTCAATTTACAGAGGTTCTACTGCATAGACTTTCTCTCTTATTTTATCTAAAACAACAAATCCACTTTATGTATCATCATCCTACAAAAGTGTGTTTATCTGCTTCTTAACAGATAGTATTACATTTACAATGTTGGCATTAGCAGTATCTCAGAATTGGTGATGAAATTTGATCCAACCTCCCTTCCTAAGTAGAAATGCCCTGAATCGCATTACTGATTATAATTTTGTTCTCCTAAAACAGCAGTTCTCAACCGCTGTTCTCAAAGCTGTCGTGACCCACAGGAACTGTGTTAAAGGCTCATGGCATTAGGAAGGTTAAGAACCACTTTCCTAAAAGAAAGCTGAGAATCTTAGTAAGCACTGAAGGAAGGGACACATAGTCTAATGCCAATCACACAAAGGGGCACAGGAAGGTGTTTTTGATGCTTACAATTCTGTACAAACTACCTCCACCAGCAGGAGAAGGAACTCAAAGTTCTTTGGGGTTAAAGATCTAATAATCTCCTCCTACTTCTCTTAACTCTTTGACATCCACTCTTGGAGGAGTTTATTTTAATTAAAAGAGATAGGACATTCCCTTTCACCACAAAGAGGCTGCAATCTCTTTGAGAAAGTCCACAGTCTCCTTCCTGGACCATTTATTTAGTGTTTAACATCCTCACATCCACCTGAACCCCAGGCTCCAATTTGACCTTTGTCTTCCCAGGAAGACTTTGTGTAGCATCGTTAGTGTAAATATATCTTTATATAACTATATCTTTATATATGTAGATCATTATAGTAGCTCTAGATTAAATAAATTTCAATTCTTCTGAACACCTTCATAGACCTCTGTCAGACTTTCAAACATTAAAATTTTCTATCTGTTTTTAATACCTTTGGGACCAAGAAGGATATAAATAACTGTATACAAATAATAGTTATTTTAAAATCTACTCTAAATTCTTCACAAACTGTGTAAGTCATAGGGCCCCAAATTAGAATTTATGATCTCATTAAGATCTAGAACGTTTTATGAGAGATTTATGGCTATCAAGCCAAGATAATATTACTGTCACAGTGCTAATATAAGTAACATTGCAATTTTATTATTTTACCTGCATTTAAATAAAATTATTTCAACAACTGTTATAATATTATGACTGAGCAGAAATCTTTCATGTATTATTTAAATGCAAAAAACGATAAAGTGCAAGTTAAAAGAAATAAAAAAATGAGATGAGAAATAGAAAATCGTTTTGGTAATAACTCTATGTTGGGGTTCTGCCCTGGGGGCAGGGTCTGCTAAGACCTGTGGAACTGGTGTGACCAACTGAAGAAATACAAAGTTAGGAACAATGATAAAAAAAAAGAGACATGAGACACAGGACAGAATTTTCAAAGGTGGGAGCTCAGGGGACCACTGCCTGTTTGTGGATTCCGAAGAGTGGCCCCAAGTCTGTGTTCCACTCAGTTTTTATTCAAATCTCTTTGCCCAGGTGGTAAGCTGAGGGAGGGAACAAAGACACCAGCAGTTTCTCTGAGTGAGCATATCAGCTCCTATTGTTATTATTATTAACTTTAAGGATTTGAGCAGTTTTGAGGAATCTGAAACTTGAGACTTGTGTAGGGGAAGCCTCCTGTTTGGAGTCACACACACAGATTCCACACAGATTCCTAGGGAGGTGTTAAACTCCGCTAGTTCACTGTGGAGTAAAACACCCCTGGCATCAATCTTTTCTGAGGAATCAGTGGGAGAGAGGCATTTTCCTCTCATCACTACCACAGAGGATTTTCCTCTGCGATAAGGGATGTAAGCCCTCTTGCCCATATCTTAGGGCTTGAGCTTTGCCCTTGATCTCTGCCCCAGCCAAATGCAAATCTCCACAATCAGTATCTGCTTTGTCTGTTTAATGGGCAGGAAACAACCTAGAAGATGTATCTTTTCTAGGTCTTGCCATAATCTCTTTTACGGCCATTACCTTCCTCAGAATGTTCACATGCTCATCAGGGGTATTTGTGTAAGCTGCATCCCCAGTAGGTCAGAGTTTCAGGAAAGGCCAGGAACTTGTTCAGATAAGAAATTTAGCTATGGCTAGTTTAAAGGTAAATTAGCTGACTTTTCTTTGTTCCGACTCCTTCAGCTTACTTTTTTTTTTTTTTTTTTTTTTGAGACAGAGCCTCAAGCTGTCCCCCTGGGCAGAGTGCCGTGGCATTACAGCTCACAGCAACCTCCAGCTCCTGGGCTCAAGCGAGTCTCCTGCCTCCGCCTCCCAAGTAGCTGGGACCACAGGCGCCCGCCACAGCGCCCGGCTATTTTTTGGTTGCAGCCGTCATTGTTGTTTGGCGGGTCCGGGCTGGGGATTCGAACCCGCCACCTTAGGTGTACGTGGCTGGCGCCTTAGCCGGTTGAGCTATAGGCGTCGAGCCTTCAGCTTACTTTTTAATTTTCCTTTTTTCTAGCAGTGCCCTTCCCTGCCAAGAATGGGGTCTTTGGTTCCCATTCTACCTCCACTATATCAATTCTTTCACCACATTCTAATGAAGGAAATGAGGCGTTTATACTTACCAAAATGCCTAGTAAAATTACAAAAGAGAAAAAAGTTTTCTCTTGTTCCAGCAGTACTTTTAATGCCATTGTTCTTAACAAATGTATTTTTTCTTGAAGAGTCTAAATCAAAGATAAAAAAGTAGAGTTAACATTAAAAGCATGTGACTGTGCTCTGTACATAGCATTAACTAATATTGGTCACTTATTATATGTATATTAGGTATATTTTACATCTTTTTTAAAAGAAGTCAAGTTTTAAAAAGACATAACAGACAAATAATATGTAATCCTTTAAAAATTTAGGCTATGGGAATTGAAGCTTTGCCTACCTATACATTACATGCAAAACATCTACTGGCTCTGAATTCCCAGTGTATACCTGTCTTTCTTTGTTTTCTACCCAGGTCTCTACAGTGGCCATTTATATAGATTTGGAGAGTGTCAACAGTATAATGATAGTGATAAAATAACAACCCTTGCTAAGCACTATGGGCCGGGCATGATTTTTAGCGTGCTAACTCATTTAAAACTTACAACTACTCCGGAAGGTGGATCCTATCAGTGTCCTCACTGTAGCAATGGGGAAACTGAAGTTCAGAGAGGGCTGAGTAACCTGACCAAGGTCACAGAGCCAGTAAGAGACACAGAAGGACGTGAATCCACATGGGGTGGTTCTGGTGTCCCTGTTTTTACATCTACTATGTCTATCCTGCACTATAATGCTCTGTTTAATCAAGACATCATACTTCGACCTTGGAAGTTTCATCGCCACTAAGAAACAGTTAACATTTGGGCATTTTTGAATTCTTCCCAAACTAGTACAGATTATATTTTGGCAGTAAAATAAGGATCCATTTTAAACATCTAAAGGTCATTTATAAGTGATGAAACTGCAGTCACTGATTCAACATTTCAATAAAAGATAAACCAAGACCCTTCAATGACCTAAAATGCAGAAAGGAATTCTGATTATGTTTTTACAGATCCACGCATGTCCAGAGAAGAGATTTTTTTTTTAAGTGAAGCCTCATCTGGTTGCTCCATCAGGTAGACAAACAATGGTTCCATTTCCTTTTTTGCAGACTTTCCCAAAACTACAAGGACCCCAAGTGGACCATCTGACTACTTAGAAAGAAACCAGAGCAGAAAACCAGAACCATGGGCCAAACAGCTCAACAAAAACAACAGCAACAACAAATGAGGCAGAGCTGGGCAGACTTGCTGGGAGCTGCTGGCAGAGCAGCCAACCAGGGGTGAGCCTATAGACAGCCTTGGAGGTGCCCAAGCCCAGAGGAAAACCACTGCAGCTGCCCTGGCAGGTCAAATTGTCAGGGCAATTAGAGATTATTTTACCTTTGTTGAATGAAAGACCCATTTTAAGTGAATTCAAACAGCTTTTTTTGTTTGTTTGTTTGCTTTTCCAGTTTCTTGATCATAGCTTCTTTTCCCCCTGGTGTATCTCAAAATCATTCAGCAATTACCCAACTATGGAACTTACTGCATGTAGACACAGGGTCAGGGGTAGGAGATAAAAATCACTTTCTCTGAAAGGCATACTATCCGTTATCTCTTTCTTGCCATGGTCATTATTAAAGTTTTAAAAGTTATTAAATTTTAAGAAGTAAAATCAGTGTAATTTACATAGAATTAAAACTAACATGAAAAAAGTATTTACACAAGAGAAAAAGGGATGGACAAGTTGGGCAGTGCATACCATAATTGAGCAACTTAGTTTGGACAGAAGGCTGTGAGGGGACACGACACTAACTACTGAGGCAGGCAAACAATGAACCATTTCTTAGCAATGTCACTTTGAGGTTACACATCTATAAGGAGGTGAAAACAGATGACTGAGGGGTGTTGTGAGGTTTAACTGGGATAATATCTATAAAGTGCTCAGCCCAGGGCCTACAGTAGTTGCTGTTACCGTTACTGCAGCTGCTGTTACTGAGAACGCCACTTATTAGCTGTGTGAACTCAGATATGTTACTTAACCCTGAGACTTAGTTTCCTCATTTCTAAATTGGGCAGAATGACAGTACCTATCTCCTGAAATTGCCATGAGGATTAAGTGAGTTTAACAGTTGTAAAGCACTTACGGGAGAGGTAACTGATGTAAACTGTTCCTGACACATAATAAATACTGTCTAGGTGTTAGCAACTCTTGTTGTCCTTCATGCTAATGACATTATTATTGAGGATCAAATGACCCAATGGATGTGACAGTCCTTGGAGAGACGTTTAGATGGCCACAGTCAAGTGGCAGGCAGTATTCTAGACCTCTACACCTGTGGGCCTGCCAAGAGCGTTGGGACATTAAGAGTTCATGCAAAGTTCCAACCAAGTATTTGTAATGTTGAGCACTGTGCTCATTCTTCATAAAAACTGTGCCTTTTCCCCGTTTTTTTCACCCTTTACAGTAGATCATCATCCCCATGAGAAGTGGGAGAAAACTGAAGGTCACAGGACACAAATACTAACAATGGAAACTGAATCAAATTCATACCCAGGAAATCCTAAACAGGGCTCTCCAACATGCTGCCATGTTGATTTCAGATTGTGTCCCACCACACTGCCAGCATCCAGGACTCCTGCCATTTGGGACAATGACTACATCAACAAAAGTGTTGATTGACATATAACAAAATAAAACTCTGCATAACTTATCTATTTATTTATTCAACAAACTATGATTAAAGTTCTTAGGTACCTGAAAGGATGAGACTGGGGGGGACTTTACAAAGGTGCACTTCCAGGGAACTTACAACCGGGGGTGGGGGGTGGTTTGATATCCTAAACACCATTTAATATGATTGTTATTAACATACTACTGACCTGGCCAAGGAGTATTTTAGAAATACACAATTTAACTGGTGGAGTGTTGGATGACCCTGAATTTCCTGGAATAAAATGAAATTCCTTATAAAATTCTTTGGCATTTGTAAAAAGAAGAAAAATTGAAAAATTTAATGAAATAACTTAAGCGTTTAAGTAATAATATTTAAAATAAAAATAAAGCAGTAAGAAAGTTATTTATTGAAATTGCTTTTAAATTCTGGGCTTTCAGGGTCTGGCCCAAAGACAGAAAAATGCTTTTATATGCTTCAGTGTTCTGTTTATTTGGGAATGACTTATCAAGCACAAGTCATACAAATTACTGAGATTATGTACCGTGGGTCTGGCCGCTGGGGTTTTCATAGTTTGCCAAAACATCATGAATAGACAACATCTATAACAGCCTAGCATCCGTTTCCTACAGAACATGTGCAGGGAAACTGGCCATAGCCAAACACTGAAGAGAAGACTAGTAACACCTGGTTCACTGTATTCCGGATGGAATCTCTGCCTCATTATCTGCTATTCAACAATAACCAGCAGTTGACAGTATCGGGAGACCTGGACAACCAAAAAAGAAGAGACGTGAGCCCAAAGCACAGAGCTGGCACACATCCTGTTCAGCTGCACACAAAGTGGCTGCCTTTCAACTAAGCTGCTCAGCCTGCTCATCTGAGTGAGCAGTAACTAATACGGATGTGTCCTAATTGGCCTCCCTCTAAAATAGACAAATCCAATAGACACTATAATGCACTACCCTTGCCAGTCCTTGTCCAAAATTCTGAACACCTGTGCTGGCATATCACCAGGCAAAGGGGCAGGGGAGCACTGCTAGGGAGGAGCAGCTGCAGGCTTCATTTCTTCCTTCCTGGCTGGGCAAAGTGCTGGATCTCAAACTACCATGTTCATTGTCTGTGGTTCCTGCAACTGCCTACGCAGTGCTGCTCCTAACCTGTCAAAGTTCTTCCGGGATCTCCCTAAATTTAGCATAGGCACCTCTTCTTTAGGCTTCTATAGCATCCTGGACTCACAGCCTAATTATTTACTTACCTCTCTCACTTTCTAGCTTTTGTGTGACATTGGACAGCATTTATTTTCTTTAGTCACTGTTAATACTTAATTTTTTAAACTAGTTTTCAATGTTAAAAATGAAGAATGTTGGCTCAGCATCTGTAGCTCAAGCAGCTAAGGCGCCAGTCACATATACCTGAGCTGGTGGGTTCAAATCCAGCTCCAGCCTGCCCAAAACAGCAATGACAGCTGCAACCAAAAAATAGCCAGGTGTGGTGGCAGGCGCCTATAGTCTCAGCTACTTGGGAGGCTGAGGCAGGAGAATCTCTTGAGCCCAGGAGTTGGAGGGTATTGTGAGCTGTAATGCCACAGTACTCTACCCAGGGAGATAGCTTGAGGCTCTGTCTCAAAAAAAAAAAAAAAAAGAAAGAAAGAAAGAAAGAAAAGAAAAACGAAGAATATTCTTGAAAAATTAGACAATCTGGCAACCCTGAGTCCCACATCAAGTCCAGGTGCGCCAGAGCTGAGCATTAGTTGTCCTTTACATGGAAGAACATATACTCTTTAGTTGCCCTGGTATCTACCACTCCTTATTGTCACATGGGGCTCCCTCCCGCATTTGGTCATCAACTCAGCTATCTGAGTTTGCCCCCAACCAGAGCTGAAGGACTTAATGACAAGCGTTGTGATTTCACTCTAGAACTGTAATGTTCCCAGGATGTGCCCAATACACATTAAATGAATGAAGAAATTCATTAATAGGGATAATATTTTACTTCTCAGAGTTCTAAGGGATGAAACAATATATATGAAAAATTTATGCAAATATAACTTGAAATTGAAATACAATTACTGTGGTGAAACAAATCCAGGTCAAAACACTATTTCTTGAATGTAATGCTTTACTATTGACAAAGATCACTGAGGAGGAAGATTCAGTATTTATCTTCCTAACTTTTAAAATCAGTGACCTTTCTAAGAACTATTGTTAGTTTTGATTTTGTAAACAACCAAAATATATGAATCTTGGAATAATTTGAATAACCTAGGTACTCTTTTTTCCATAATCAATTATTTAATTTTTTCCATGTCTTAAAAGCTATTTATTATCCAACAGATGCAGTACACGCAATAGGTAATAGTTTTCATCTAGTAAAACTGTATTAACATTATGTAATGAAGCTATATTCGACCCATACGTTTTTTCCAATATGCAATAAGATGAAACATTTTTTAAAATGTCAACATTAAAGTAAACTGGCAGTCTTGCAATTTATAAAATCAGCCTTGAAATAAAGCCAATGCTATAAATACAGTCTTTTACATTTTAATGGTGAAACATACTCATAAATGACTTTTCCCACATGCTAAGAGAATAGAAAATTAATTAGGGTATTACTATTTCTAAACAGGACAATAACCCCCAGCCTTGGTCTTTAACTTCACTACATTCTGAAAATCATTCTTCCTACATAGTGAGTTGACAGCTCTTTTTGCAGCCTATGAAGCTCAGAAAGGTATGTTGTAATAAGAAAATACATATTGCTGTTGGCTGGGAAATGAGAATGCCTTCTCTTTTTCAAATCATGAAATATTTTCTACTAAAAGCTCTACAAGCTTTAAAATTTTCTGCTGCCAAATACAATATCTCCAATTCCTCCCAAATTCAAAGCATTAAGGGTCACTGTTAGGCTCCTGACTTTCTTTTCTTTCTTTTTGTTTAAACAGAACTTAACCCAGGATAAGGTTTTCCAAGACTAATTCTTTTTATTTCTCTGAGTTGTAGGCTTTATCATCTTTGCCCTAGGAAAACTACTGTCAAAATTCTCAAAACATTCAGTCAAAAAGCCTGTTGTAACTAAAATGATTTTCCCAAAATTCATGAATGTTTCTATATACTTAAATACAAACCGTACAATAATAGCATCATGGACTAAAGGGACCTTAAACATCTACACAGTCTATCTTAAAAGAATTGTGAACAACCATCTCTCCAACACAGCTGTTTAAATTTTTATTTTGGAAGGAAGTCTGGACAGATTCCAAAACTGCTCTTTATGCCATTTGTAGTGTCCTTCTCCAGTATAAGTAACCTCTATTCTTCCTCAATTTCCACATATTCAACCAGTCCAAGCTGATCCAAGAGTGGCTCATCGACATTCAATCTTCAGATACACAAGTTCTTTTGTCTAGTGTCATTACTGATGGGTGGTTGCTTTCCTTTTAAAATTCAGGTTTTCAATCTTCAGCTTGAAAGGTACATGTTACATGATGTGTGAACTAGCAAATAACACGATACTATTTAAATATCTTATTTTAAAATATGAACATTTTAGACATAAGACATATACGATGAATGAACTCACCGCTGGACTAGTAAATCATGTATAGAAATTCTGTTCATACCATTTTACTTTTCTTTTTCTTCAGCTAGAAGATTACTTTAAATAAAGTCTGTGAACATTTAATAATCAGCTGCCACAAGACAAATGTATTTAATTATTTAACTATTCTCTTGCTTCCTATTATGTAGGCAGCTGTCAATTTATTCTCTGGGGTGTGCATGATTCAAAGTAGGCATTCTTACTCAGCCTGTAATCAACACAGAACACACTGGCCTTTCCCAGAGTTTGTAATGCTTGACTTTAAATATTGACTCCCCAGATTTAAAAGGACTTGGCTTTTTTACATACTAAAGATACCTAGAGTTTTTTGTTTGTGTTGTATTAATTTTTGAGGGATGGAATTGGCCCCAGGGGTTTGAATTAAGAGTGGGATCCGAGATTGCAGCAGGCAAAAAAAGACTCAAATTCTCTTCATGAGTGTTAGCAGAATTCCTCACTTATAATTAAAAAGTCCCCAACATGCTCTAAATTCATGTAACAAAGCTATAAGCAGCAAATTAAACACATTAAGGATAGCATGTGATGTTACAGGTCTCAATCCACTTTCCATTCTATAATATATGTAAATTAAGCCCTAATCATGTCAAGTAAAGAATTTAATTTTCTGTCATTTTATAAAAAGCATCTGTTATGGCTACTTATATACAATGCATTGCTTTATATTTAAGTCTTCTTGATAGAAAAGGCACTTTACACTGTAACTTCAAGTGCATAATTTTCATGCATCCTGAATGTCAAATTCAAGATCTAGCCCGCCCTCAGGATCTTAAGACACTCCAGCCAAAGAAACGAGTAACTTCTATGATTGTCCTGAAAATACTAACACTCCATGTAGAGTTAGTACACACAATAAAGCCATTTGGCCTCCGTAATGAAGTAGGTGTCATAAGAAGTTTTCATAGATTAATTATAAAGAACTTGCATAGCTCCAAACAATGCCCCCATGTATTAATGCCAAAGTCACATTTTCAAAATCCAGTCGTTTTACTATGTTTTGTATTACTTTCAAGAACAATTTGATAAATATTACGCAAAGAAAAATTCTTTTTAAGTACTCACATCTCTATAAATATGTCAAAAATTGTCACCAGGACTCAATTCTTACACCTCTAGTGATATGTCTTTCAATTAGATAATAAGCAGTGCTTGAAAAATTTTCAAACTACATGTAACCAGAGTTGGTAAAAGTACCTACAGCAAAACTGCACCACAGAAAACAGATTGAATAAATCCTGAACTAATGCAATATAATCCTCCCTTTTGCGTAGAAGTATCTGATCATGACATAACACTAAAATAAATTCTTCTGTTTGCCTATAACCATTTCTTGTTTATATAGAGAAATTGTCTTGTAGCTAAAGAAGCTGTCGCTTGAGTAAAAACTACATCTTCATTAATATACCGAGTTAAACAGTTTCAATTAAAGAAATACTGAACTATGCTTAGGGTTTTGTTTGCAGACTGAGTCCTTTTATTAAAATGCAAATAATAAAAAGGTGACGGTGACATAGATTTCTTACAATAGTAAATGCAGGCTTGATGATTAGTTCACTATCAGCAAAACATATCAGAGAATTTTGGTCCCCCCAAACTTGATCTCCAGGGATTTATTAGCTAAATGTCTAGTCCATGAGACGGCGCTACAGCATTGACGAGTACTGTCTGGGAGATTGCTTTCTCTCCCAATCTTATCACATGCTCTACTCATCAACATACTAATACTGCTAACATTTTAGAAACTTCCGTTCTCCACAAAAGGAATATAGTTCTACGCCACTCGTCGATCTAAACGTTCTTTTTTCACCTCCTGGGGGGCAATTCTGTAGGGCCCGTCTGCGGATGCTTGCTCCAGAGGCGCGAGTTCAGGGCCCCGCGGCTCCTACGCGCTGGACGGTCCTCTCGCAGCAACGCAGAACAGTCCCGAAAGGCCCGGGTAAAGCATTATGCGGCTTTATTTATATACTCACGTACGTTTGCCTTACAAGCAAATTTTTCTATTTGCGAGATCCCTGGATAGGAAGTCTTAATCCTGTCACTCCCATAGCCAACGGAGACCAGGAGGCATTCACACTCTCTAGTCCCTTCAGCGACTGCGGCCAGAAGTCAGCATTTCGGGGGCCTCCTCTGGCCTCCCCTGGCTGTCACCGCTTCCCGAGGGCCCCTGTGCCCGGTTCAGGCCTCCGGCTCTGGTCCTCTGCACGTGAGCAGCCCCTGCGTGCGCCCCTCCCCTGCGTTAGGCGACTGCTCCACTCCAGTCCCTAATCCGCGAGGATCCACCCAGGGAGAGGCCCCGGGACCCCAGTGCAGCGCCGCGTAGCCCCCAGAGGAGCGGAGCACCTACCTTCCCAGTCACCTGGAAGGCTCAGCCGGCCGGTGCGTCCAGTCCTGCCCTGCAGGTCCGCACGGCAGACCGAGCCGCAGTGGGGCGCGCAGCCGGCCTTCGGTGCCCGGCGCCGGGCGCAGAGCTGGAAAGGGGTTCCTCTCCGGGCGCGCAGCCGAGCGCCTCCGCGCCACGGGCTCCGTTCTCTCCCGTAGCCCAGCAACCGCCGCCGCCTCCAGGAGCCCCGCCCACCATCCGAAGCCCCGCCCCGCGCGAGCCCCCACCCACTCTGCCCGCCAGCGCCCCTGCCAGCCTCCGCCCAGCCCCGCCCGGCTCTGCTGCTGGGGTCCCAGGCGCTGGTGGCCCGGCACGGCAGGTGCTGGAGCTATCGACTGAGGGGCAGGGAAGGAGGGGAAGACCAACAAGAGCGTGGTTGTGTTAGAACTTCCTTCCGAGAAGCGGGGGAGACTTCCTTTCCACCCTGGGCGTATTTCCCCTGGAAGCCTGTGCTTTTCCCTAGTCAGGTCACATGCATATGGTCCCCTGCATATTTGGGAATTCCTCAGAAAAGAATGGCCAGATCTTTGTGGCACATTAGCTCAGGTCAGCCAAGATCATGATGATCCAGCTCACCAAAGGCCGCCTCATCGATCCCGGATGCGTTTTCCCCAACAAAGACTCTGCCAAGGCGCTCACAATGCACAGAAAACTCCAGAGGGTAGGGGGGTTGTCCTAAGCCAACACCTGTGTCCACTTTTTACATACCGGGGGCCAGCCTGGTCCAGTTGCCAGGGCGGGTGGGGGGAGGCAGAGAACAAGGTATGGCCTCCCTATCTTGAAGAGGAACTAATGGTACCCACTTTGCAGTTTTGCCAAAAAGGTTAAAAGAAGAAGGCAGGGAAGGGAGTAAAAGAGGGAGGGAGGGAAAGAAAGAACTTTTCCAGGAGTAGAAGAATGCTTAAAACAATCTAAGTAATGACTGTTTTATCCTCCCACGGAGTGCACTGATGGATGTGGTTCCTTCAAACCCAAGACACCACGCATGACTTTGACACAGAGAGTAAGCCGCATTTCTCAAGCATTGGTTTCGACTTTCTGACTCAGTTGCACTCTTTGGATGGTACCAAGTCCTGTGTTCCTTTTCTATATCCCAAAGCCCACTGGAGTCCTTTAATAAATACTTGTTGCGTGAATAAATAGGTTTTTATAATTAATTGCCCAAAAGCACATCTTATGATTCCCACACCACAGATACCGTAGGGCTGTACTAGGTGTCCCTGCTAAAACGGTTACCGTTCTTCAATAGCAACCCTCAGGTTGTATACTTCATACATAACGCATTGAGAATACAGGTCACAACAATGACTTGTTTGTAAACGATTTGCAAATGATGTGTATTATCTTCCTTGAACCTCAAGGTGAATGCGTGTTTCCCTGTGCCATCTGCCGGCTGTCATCTGTCTGGCTGCAGACCTCAGTGCACATAGCTAACATATCATGCTGAAAAACCTCTCTTTATCTATGTTCCTTTCCCCAACTACACATCCATCTCCTAAGGGCACATTGTATTTTCTTGATATCCCAGGGCCCAGCATGATACTTAGCACATCACCCTTCCTTCTTCTTTTTTACCTGGACAGTGGTCTGCTGCCATCCAGGCCTTTCCCACCCTCGCTGCAATATTGCCTCAGCTGTCAATCATGTTTCCCACTTTTCATCACAACTATTGTTTTGGCAAAAGATTCACAGGATATTCCTCATTGTAAAGAATGGCTTCTATGCTCCTGGCATTAGCATTAGACAATTCCCACACTTGGGCCCTACCCACGTTTTCAGCCTTATCTTTCCTCTACTATCCACACTTCAGATTCTTCCCCTGCCTCTCAGCTTCCTCTTCAGGCTCACCCATCTCCCTTACCTCTCTGACTCTTGACTTACTTACCTTACTCCTGTTTCAGGAACCTGCTTCAAAGCCACAACTCTCATGAGTTCTCCCCCCATTCTGAACCACATAATTCCTCTCCAAAGCGTGCAGCAATTTAGCACTGGCTGGTTCTGCCCTGACTTATGAGTATCTGTGTACTTAGTTTTCTTCTTCAGGGAGTTAAACACACTTTCAGAGAAGGGGCATACTTTATTCCAATTTGTATCTCTGATATGTGTAATAACAGCCATTCAAATAAATGTTCAATAAATGTTTTCTGAGCACAGTTAAATCTGCAGGCTCTGGAACTACCACCACTTCAGCCAAATCGACTTTTTCTCTCTGGCCTTTTTGTTCTTAGAGATACTAACACATTATGTAGTTCATTAGTTCATGATTGATCTTCCCAGTTAACTTGTTAGTTCACTGCGGAGAGAGCCCCTATTGTTAACATACATGGGATTTGGCATCTGATAATCTGGTCTTAATGCCAACTTGCCATTCACTACTTTCATGACCTTAGAAAAGTTACTTAACCTCCCTAAGTTTCCGGTTCTTCATCTGTGAAATGAATTGATTCATTGATGGTTGTTAAAGAAGATAAGGTATTTAAAGTGCTTAGGCCAATGCCTGGCACTTAGTAAATACTCACTAAGTAGCAACCATTCTTAGTAGCAGTATATTGTTTTGGTAGGTTATACAATGCCTAGCATAAGTCAATAAATGGTAATTAAAATAATTGATAGTGGTGAAAAGGGCATTGACCCTCTGTACCATAGATGCATGTGTTTCTTTAAAGAAGAGGCTCATTGGCTCGGCGCCTATAGCTCAACGGGCTAAGGCGCCAGCCACGTACACCTAAGGTGGCGGGTTCGAATCCCCAACCCGGACCCGCCAAACAACAATGACGGCTGCAACCAAAAAATAGCCGGGCGTTGTGGCGGGCACCTGTGGTCCCAGCTACTTGGGAGGCGGAGGCAGGAGACTCGCTTGAGCCCAGGAGTTGGAGGTTGCTGTGAGCTGTAATGCCACGGCACTCTACCCAGGGGGACAGCTTGAGGCTCTGTCTCAAAAAAAAAAAAAAAAAAAAAAAGAAGAGGCTCATTAAGTTAAATAAATATTGTCATTCCTCTAGTATTGGTGGATTCTACATTCATGGATTTAACCATCCATGGATTGAAACTGTTCAGGAAAAAAATGGATATTTGTGTCTGTACTGAACATATAAAGACTTTTTTTCTTATCATTATTCCCTAAACAATACAGCACAACAACTTTATATAGCATTTACGTTGTATTAGGTATTAGAAATAATCTAGAAAAGATTTAAAATATATGGTAGAATGTGCATAGGTTATATGTAAATACTATACCATTTTATATCAAGAACTCAAGCATCTATGGATTTTGGGATTTGTTGGGGGTCCTGAACCAGTCCTGAACCAGATTCCCACGTTAGCTCACTTTGAGTGTTTATATGATCTTCAGACAGTGTCTGAATGAAAACCTACATCTGAGTACCAACGGTAGTACAAAAAAGAATATTGTGATTCCAAGGTTCACTCAGGATGAAACTGATGCTTAGAATTAGAATTAGGAACATTTAACTCCCTTTAAAACACTGGATATCACTAATGGGTTGAAGTTGTTACTGGAAAAGCCAAATTGCTATGTGACTCTTGGTAGAGGTGTTTGTTCTTAAGATTATGTTAAAGGTTAATTTTTGAGGATAATTTTAGCAATATCTAAGCTGATGCAAAGTACATTTGTTTGGGATATGTTCTGCTAAAACTGCGGTTCCCAACCTTCAGGCCATGAACTGGTACCAGTCCACGGCCTATTAGAAAGAGGGTCTCACAGCAGGAAGTGAGCAGTGGACGAGGGAGCGAAGCTTCATCTGTATTTCCAGGTGCTCCCCATCACTGGCATCACTGCCTGAGCTCCGCCTCCTGACAAATAAGTGGAGGCATTAGACTCCCATAGGAATGTGAACTTCACTGTAAACCGTGTATGCAAGGGATCTAAGTTTTCTTATGAGAATCTAATACCTGATGACCTGAGGTCGTGATGTGCTCAAACCATCCTGAAACCATCCCCTCCACCCTCATCTGCGGACATACTGTCTTCCATGAAACTAGTCCCTGGTGCCAAAAAGGTTGGGGACCATTGCACTAAAAGTTGAACTAATGAAGTAACATGCTTCCTGAAAAAAAATAGTTTCAGTGATAAACTAGCTCGCTGGAAGCAAAGGTAAAGGCAAGTTGTGTGACGTCTAGTAATTTCAATCACCACTTCTTGAGAAAATGGAATAGAATGCAAGCTACAGGAAAATGGGAAATTTTGAGGCCTGGCGTAGTGCCTCATGTCTGTAATCCCAGCACTCTGGGAGGCTGAGGCAGGTGGATTGCCTCAGCTTACGAGCTGGAGACCAGCCTGAGGTAGAGTGAGACCCCTGTGTCTAAAAATAGCCAGGCATTGTGGTGTTGTGTTGGGCACCTGTAGTCCCAGGTACTCAGGAGGCTGAGGCAAAAGAATCGCTTCAGCCCAAGAGTCTGAGGTTGCTGTGAGCTATGATACCATTGCGCTCTACCAAGGGTGAAAAAGTGAGACTGTGTCTCCAAAAAAAAAAAAAAAAGAAAGAAAGAAAAGAAAAGAAAGAAAACGAAAACAAGAAATTTTCTCTCCTTGATTCACAGTGCTTGGCATATAGTAAATACTCATTAAATATTCATTGAATTAATTAATAATTAAGAGTGAGAGTCCAGGTGCAGTAATCCTGGTGCTCTGGAAGCCAGAGGCAGAAAGAGTGCTTGAGCTCAGGAGTTTAAAACTAGCCTGAGCTGGGCAGTGCCTATGGCTCAAAGGAGTGGGGCGCCAGACCCATATGCCAGAGGTGGTGGGTTCAAACCCAGCCCCGGCCAAAAAAAAAGACTAGTTTGAGCAAGAGTGAGACCCTGTCTCTACTAAAAATAGAAAAATTTAGCCAGGTGCATGCTTTTAGTTCCAGCTACTTGGGAGGCTGAGGCAGGAGGTTCCCTCAAACCCAGGAGTTTGAGGTTGCTGTGAGCTATAATGATGCCATTGCACTGTAGACTGGGTGACAGGAAGAGACACTGTTTCAAGAAAAAAAAAGAGAGAGACAGAAAACCTCTCAAAGGGTCATAAAATTTGCTGAATTTAGGCTCGGCGCCTATAGCTCAACCGGCTAAGGCGCCAGCCATGTACACT